GTCTTTTCGAATATGATAACTTTCAAAATATTTTATTATTCTGCTTTTCAATTTGCGACTCTTTTAACGGAAGTTTCTTCGTTTCAAACAACAAATCGTTACGAGACTAATATCTCGAAACACTTCCGAATTTCATCCTGTTTTAACGTCAAAAATCTGCGGTAATTAGCTCGATTCCGTCACTTTCGCTGACAATTAGTAGTCGAAAAATTTACTGGTTACGAACGTGGTACCGTTTATTTGCGTACCATGAAAACGATTTTCTGGAAAATAAGACCCTTCGGCCAACCTATTTCCTGTGGATACAGTAGCGTGGTATTATCAACTGATCTCTGCCTTCCTTCCTTCTTTCCGTGACGCCACACTGAGAATGAATAATCTCGTTTCAAGCCTCCTGGACCATTTTCATCCTTCAGAAAAAGAATCTCGACCGCAACGATCGCGAGGCTCGCGAATGAAAGGAAGGAAGAGGAGAAGGGGAAGTAAAATTGAAATGTAACTTACCGAAGGTAAATATTCGTAGCAATACTTGGACACCACCTGCTTCTCGGGAGAGTAGTCTCACGGTGTGTACCGGCTTCTGCACAGCTGCACCTGTCTGAATCTTTTCTCGGCGAACAAATTTCTGTACGCTTCTCTTAAGGTCGCGGTAGGAGGGTTCGAGGGATTTTCTAGGACGCGCGTGTTCTGGCTGCAAAAAGGAAACACAGTTTAAGGAACATCGTAACGGTTGCAGGATGATTACTGGCGGAAAAACCTGACTACATGTGAATGGATGAAACAAGGACAATGGACAATGCCTTCCTTTTTTGCGACATACCGTGAATACATGAATGGAGAAACAAACACGGAGTGGAACAGGTAGTCCTTGGTTAATATGGAACGTTGCAAAATATTATTATTTCCAATTTTGACACTTTTAGGGAACTTTTTCAGAATTTACCATTGAGGAAAGGGAGAAAATTGCAATGTTCTAGTAAGATTTTTACTACAGACATCTCTCGCCATTTTGCGAAAGGAAAAAGGATATGTTGGACTCAAACAATTTGTTCACAAAGATAGTACATTGTTTATCAAATAATCTCTAATATTTCTTAATTGCGATCATTTCTCTTAGTAAAATAATCTCGTTAACCAAGGGCTACACGCACGCCAAGGTTCTGGACGCCCAGGTGTGGTAAAGAACAGATACAG